CAGGCACTGTGACATCATGTTACACCACTGCACAAGGGTTATCAGACAACCAGTACTGCAAATCCACAACAGCAGAACTGGTAACTGAGGTGGCTGGTGTGTGACTAGCAGGCAGGTAGCAGACACCGTGGGTACGTGTGGGACAAACGGATAAGTCATGTTCCAAGTAACGCAGATCAAGATTTCCTCACACTCCTCAGAACTGTTAAAATGCGTAAGTTGGTCATTTCTAGAATTTCCATTGAATATTTTTGGACTGTGGTTCAGCACAGGTAACTTCAACAGTCAGAGGCAAAACTGCAAATAAGAGGGGACTGACTACTGTCTTCAGGAGATGCCAAAAGTTCTGAAAGTTCTGGACTGAAATCAGTAACAAAGACTAAACACTACATACTTTTTATCATATCACCCCCAGCAATTCTACGCATGAGGATATACCCAAGAGAAAAAAAAAAGTCCATACCAAGAGCTACACATGAATATTCACCCAGCATTACACAGAGTGGCCAAAAACTATTAATTTAAACACTCACCAACCAATGAGTGGATAAACAAAGCATGGCACAAGCTGAGTAACCCCTTGTCTGAAATACCTGGGACCAGAAGTGTTTCAGATCTCAGACTGTCGCAGATTTGGGAATATATGCATGAACTCTACTGGATAGGCATTAATCCAAAAATCTCAAACTGCAACACAGTGGAGCATTATGAATTTGGTATTTTCAGATTAGGAATGCTCAACCTGTAAATCCAGATAATAGAGTATTATTCATTACAAATGCCCCTTGAAAATGTGCTAAGTGAAAGAAATCAGTCACAAAAGATCACACATGATTTTACTCATGCAATGTCCATAAAAGGCAAAAATAACAGGCAGTACATTAACATAGGTAAGAGTTTTCCTTTGGAAGGACAATGAAAATGTTCTAAAAACTGCTGCGGTGATGCAAACTGAATATATTACCCATTACTGAAATGTACTTTTTTTTTTTTTTCAATACCAGGGATCGAACTCACGACCTTGCACTTGCCGGTCAGGCGCTGCACCACTGACCTAAATCCGCAGCCCCTGAACTGTACATTTTAAAAGGATTAATTTTACCAGGCACAGTGGTACATGACTATAATCCCAGCTACTCAGGAAGTTGAAGCAATATGATCTAAAGTTGTAGGTTAGCCTGAGCAACTTAGCAAGACCATGTCTCAAATTTAAAATAAAAAATAAAAAGGTTAATTTTATATCATGCATTAAATGTCAATACATGTATTTCAGGAAAGTAGCTTCGGGTCTTTGCCATGTTAAAAGTCCCTCCTTCAATCCTTCATCACTTTCTGCTGCCACCTTTTTCCACTCTTCCCCTCACCATTAAGATGTATTTAGTCTTCAAAAAAGAAAATCTGTATTTGCCTTCTCTCCCCTTTCTGATCTCCCACTAACTCCTCAGTTCAATGAAAAATGAGCCTCTCTCCTAATCATTCTACCAAAACTGCTACCATTTAGTCATCAAACCAACTTCCTAGTCACCAAATTCAGCAGACTCTTAACAATCATTGTTTCGCTGGGCATGGTGGTGCACACCTGCAATCCCAGCACTCAGAAGGCTGAGGCAGAAAGATCACTTTGAGTTCGAGGCCAGCCTGGGCTACAAAGTGAACTCCAGGCCCCCCTGAACTGCACAGTGAAACTCTGTCTCAAAAAGCCAAAATAATAATAATAATAATAATCCTTGTTTCACTAGACTACACAAAGCATTTAAAGTATTTAAATGTGTTTTCCAGGCCAGGTGTGGTAGCGCACCACTGTGATTCCAGCTCCTCAGAGACCAGAACAGGACTGCAACTTCAAGGCCAGCCAGGGCAACTTAGCAAGACACTGTCTCAAAATAAAAAGGGTTAGGCTATAGCTCAGTGGTAAAGCATTAACCTGGCATGTATGAGGCCCTGGGTTCAATCCCCAGTACTGAAAGTAAGTTTAAATTTTTCTTAAATCAAGGTTTTCTTGTATTTGATTCATTTTTACTTTTTTCTGGAAAGTTGTGAAGTAGTGCTTCCTTTAAACATGACCCAAGGTGAAGTCCAAGTCATCTAATCCTGTCAATGCTCCCCTACTACCCAAATCCAACTGTTGCTGAATCCTACAAATCATACTCCATAAATATTTGTGCTGCTAACCTACTCTGTATCCCAACTGACAATCTTACTGCTCATCTCAGTTATTATAAAAACCTCCCAACCAGTCTTTCTGCATCCAATCTACACAACCTCCACACTTTCTAAAATCCATACTCTGCATTCTAGAATGATTTTTCTGAAATAACATTACCATGCTTCTACCCTGAGTAACATCCATAAACCCTATTCTTACCCACAGGGAAAAAAATGAGTGGCAGGCAGCACTTTTCAAGGATCTATCTGCAGCCTTGTCTGCTACTGACTGCAACAGCCACAGCTGTGGCACATTTCCCACTTCTCAAAGTCCCACACTCTCTCCTGCCACATGTCTCTGTCCACCTTTCCTTCAGCGTAAGTTCCTTTCTTCAGTCTCTGCCTCGGTCACACCTAGTCTTTAAGCTTCAGGTACAGTAAAATACATAGTACTTAATATAGCGCCTGTCACGAACAGGGACTCAAAAATGGTTGAGCCAGTTTAGATCTCATTTGTCCTGTCTCAGTGACTGCTACTTGCTTATAAGAAAAAGTTGAAATTTCTCCAATGGTGCACAAGACTACCCTTACCCATAATTTGGTCCCTGCATACCTTCTCAGTTTGGTGTCTCCCCACCATCTTACACTCTAACTAGATAACCTGGCAGATCCTGCCATATAGTTTGGGATGCTTCTGCCCACACTGTTCCTTCTACCTAAATGCCAGTCATTTCTACGCCTGCCCAGTTGTTTTCTCCACCTTCTATTTATAGGTTTTCTTAACTACTGCCCCTCTCTACAATTTCATCTTTGCTTCCCACCTTCCTTGTATATCCTTAACCCAGGCTTTCTCCCATCAATCCTAAAAACATACTGTACTTGTGGGCTGTGGAGTGGCTCAGTGGTACAGTTCTCCTAACACACCTGAAACCCTGGGCCCCAACCACGAGGCAGGGGGCATATACCTATTCACAGTTCAAGAGATTCAGCCTGACCACCTGAAGGCAGGGCCGTCTTATGCATCTTTCCTTTTCACCTGGGAAAGAACCTGTCACAAAATAATTCCTATGTTCTAAACAATGCATTTTCCTCCTTACATAGATATAAGCAACTATGAGGGGTTTTCTTTTGAAAAAGAACACACTCTCAGGTAATGTTAGGGACTTAATCTCTCTCTGCTAAGCAAACAACTTTGCAAATATAACTGTACAAACTAAAGTTAACATGCGCTTTCTCATACCTCATCTAAACTGGGGGAAACAGTCCCTATAGATCTGTAAGAAATACTACTATGAAGAGATGGCGAATTAAATTCTCTTATTTAGTTTCTAGATACTTCTTTAAAAAGTACTTATCCATAGTAACTATTAAACTAGCCTACCCTCTTGGACCTTGGGACACGTTGAATGAAAAGTAGGAACTACCCTACTTCCTTCCCACCCGACTACTGCCAGTACAGCTCATTTTCAGGAAGACGACCAAAAAGGAATTATCAACAAATCACCTACACAATTCCAAAGGGAGAAAATAAGGCTACATTTCTCACTCGCAGTTTCATTTCTTCTTTGAGAAGCGCTGTCTCCCCGAACACAAAACCACAAGTGGGTCTATTCCTTACCACCACTCGGATATTTTGTGAATAACTGCCGAAGATGACGAAGCACTGCAGCATTCAAACCCGTCCCTCGAAAAAGAACTCCGTGAAAGCATCTCCAGCCGGACTGGATAGTGCAACAACCCAATACATCCCTCCAACTAAAATTTCAGCTATCTGCAAGAAGGCTACCAGGCCTCGGGGCAAACGCTGCGTGCTAGGAGGGCCGCTCTGCAATGCTGAATCTCAAAACCTGAGCCAGCAGCACAGTCCCGGAACCCCGAGGTGCTGCAAAACCTGTTTCCCTGGGGCAAACTGGAAAGAAGGAAAGGACAGCGAGCTGACCTCAATCAAGGGCTGTGCGGCATAAGCATCCTCGAAAACGGCCTGGAAAGGCAACGCTGGACTCCAGATCGGCGCGTCCACCCCGCTGACCCCGGACGCAGGCCCGCGCCCCGCAGGCGCCCAGCCCCGTGCCCCCGCGGGTCCAGCCCGGGCCCGA